TTCTCTGTCCTTCTTAGACCTATGCTTTTTTATTTCGCCGTCTTCCCATTGTTTCTGAATTCAATCAATCAATGCTGGTGGCGCGCACATCTACGCAAAGCTCTGTTCCTTAATGTCACCGCTTTCGTAATCTTTGTCTGGAACTTCTTTTCTAAGAAATTAGCTCCAATAACATTTTACTTTGGTAAAAGAATGCTCGGATGATTGTATAGTTTCTGAATATAATTACATAAGGGCAAATTGATTGAATCAAATTGTGCAATAATCAAAAACACTCCATCAGAGTTGATCCCTCTAATGCGGATCTAGTTAGAGTGATGAAACTGGAATCACTCATCATTGCATTGACAATGGGAAAAAACTGATATCAAAATTAGCGGACTTTTTAAATCCAATTTAACCTCAAATACTTTGTGTGATTGACTCATATAAGCAGCTGTGGATAACTATTCACAAACTCTGTTTTATGTACTTTAATCGGCACTCTTCCTTTTTGAACAATTTGTCTAAATTGTTGCTTTCGCAATCTACCTTATGGAATGATTCATCGCTGCATGGATCCATCATTTACTACAATTTACGTTGTTTTTCAGTTCTCGCTTTCAACCGGGTGTTGGAGTGAGGTGGGTTTGTGGTGTATGCGCTACAGCCGATTGGCAACTTGCCAAGAAGAGGCTGACGAAGCCAGTCGGCTACTTCCACTCATGGTTGATTCCGAGGTATTTTTTCCCCATTTGAAGAATTTTTTCCATTAGCGCGGAAGTGAAGTTCGCGCATGATTATATCTCGATGCTACGAGAAAAAAAGCTGAAGGGAAATTGCACGTTGTTGGAATTTCGCTTTAAACTTCATTTCTAACTGTTATCTAACCATTTGCTGGAGAATTTTAAGTTGGAGAATAATGAAAACTCTGGGAAAGTACCCATTTTAAGCTTTCGCGTATATCATTGAGCTAGAAACTATATTGAAATGAGTAAGTGAAATTCACCAACAAAAGTAAGCAAAAATAAAATAGATACCCAAAGTTTATCCTCAGTATGAGTGCATAGCTATTTCATTTGTGCACTGCACAGACATTCTACAGTTTGGCACTGCGAAATAGACTCAAGATAAATCCCATTTTTGGCAGTCGGCAATGGTATGAGGTTCATTAGATACATCCTTTGGAAAAATAGTGAAAATCGCCGAAACCTACTCCAAAGAGTCTCTTCAAATTATCCCATTGGCTCAAGTTTGAAACTTTTCTATGTAATAAAAGGTATCAAGATAGGATGGATTAGCTGGACTTTGCTACTTAAAGCTTTTTATGTTGAAACCCTTACACCGCACCACCATAAATTTTGCTCTTTTCTCGTGCAACGGAATGCATGCAGGGAATTGCGTATATATCTTCGTAAGGTTGATTTGCATATTCTATCTTGCAGTGTAAAGATACTGCGAACGCTAATCTTGGAACGCAATCGCATTAGTGGCAAAAGAAAAGCTTTTGAAAGCTATTTTGAAAAACCGTTAGAATCAAATCTCAACAATCATATCGGTATTGTCGCCTCACTTTTGGCAAATGCGCAAATCGATCCAACGCAAGCAACTGTTGTAAGTTGAGTGAAACTACGTAGCTCAGAACCATTTATGTGCCAATAAAGCTAAATTTGCTTTATTGTCCAGTGCTTACTGTGAAAATCTTTTGTAATTGTTGGAATGTTACACTGAACGAATTTGGCATAGTTATCACTCATACTACAAAAACATCATTATTGCGAAAAGCATTTGTAAAAATGTAAATGAAATGATAACTTTGTGAAAGGAAGGACATATGTAGAATATTCCAAGGTGTTCTTAGGAAACTACATTAGAAGTTTGTAATGCAAGCTTGCAGAAGATGCTCATAAACGGAATAACGTTAATTTCAAGAATAAGCAGATTATTCAATGCGCAAGCTAGTTTTAACAGCTTCAGGTTGTTGTGGACGGCTCAGACGACATTTACCTTCTCCCTTCTGTTTCCTCTCGCAGTTCAAGTACATTTGACATGACCAGGTAATTATTATGAAATATTTTCTTTGCAAAAGTATTCATGAAAACCTTAATGATTTATCAGTGTCTGATAGACATAACAATGAGTATAATTGAAGGATTGTTGTTGAAAGGTCTCTAAAACGTTACTTACAAAATCGTGCAATTCGAATAATGGCTGAATTTTACCGTCTTCTTTCTTGACCGAAGTTTGTTTGGTCAATTGTCCTCAAGGGCAATATTAGGTGTGCACGCGATCACAGACTTAGCCTAGATTTTTTTGAATCCTTGTATGGGATAGTGTTCCAACAAGTAAGAAGGACTTTGATACTACCCTCTTTTTGGTCTTTATTTTTACTGTAAGGAGATTTCTTTCAAAGTGTCTTGTTTTGTTCGTTCTATAG